AGAAAACTAGCTGTAGCTTTTGGGCTGGGGCAGACACAGAGTTGGGTCTGCTCCTGACCTGTGGAGATACTGACTCCTGAGTCATCCTAGAGGAGCCACTGCATTCAGAGCAGCTGGTAAGAACTCCATCTCACTCCCTAAGCCCCAGAGATACATCTGGGAGCCAGGGACAGTCAGGACACAGCAGCTACCCAAACCCTGCCCCTCCGGAATTCCACTTCCCTTCCTCCCCTGCCTGGTCCTTTGGACTGGGGCAGACACAGAGTTGGGTCTGCTCCTGTCCTGTGGAGATACTGACTCCTGAGTCATCCTAGAGGAGCCACTGCACTCAGAGCAGCCAACACAGAATTGGTCTGCTCCTGTGGAGATACTGACTCCTGAGTTATCCTACAGGAGCCACTGCACTCAGAGCAGCCGAGGAGCCACTGCACTCAGAGCAGCAGACACCAAGGAGATTAGGATCATAAGACTACAGAGACATCTGGACTCTGAGGAGCTCTACAACAAGCAAGATAACTGGAAATACAGACTCCAGTCTCACACAGTGAGGGCAGGTAACACTAGAGTTGACCAGATGGCGAAAGGCAAGCGCAAGAACATAAGCAACAGAAACCAAAGTTTCTTGGAATCATCAGTACCCAGTTCTCCCAATATAGCAAGCCCTGAACACCCCATCACACCTGAAAAGCAGGATTCAGAATTAAAATCACTTCTCATGATGATGATAGAGGATTATAAGAAGGAATTAAGTAACTCCCTTAAAGAAATACAGGAGAGTACAAGTAAACAGATAGAAGTCCTTAAAGAGGAATCACAGAAATCCCTTAAAGAACTGCAAGAAAACACAAAAAAGGAATTAAACAAAAACATTCAGGATCTGAAAATGGAAATAGAAACAATAAATAAAGCTCAAAGGGAGACAACCATGGAAATAGAAAACCTAAGAAAGAGATCAGGAGTCATAGACACAAGCATCACCAACCGAATACAAGAGATAAAAGAGAGAATCTCAAATGCAGAAGATACGATGGAAAATATTGACACAGTTGTCAAAGAAAATGCAAAATGCAAAAAACTCCTAACTTAAAACATCCAGGAAATCCAGGACACAATGAGAAGACCAAACCTAAGGATAATAGGTATAGATGAGAATGAAGATTCCCAACTTAAAGGGCCAGTAAATATCTTCAACAAAATTATTGAGGAAAACTTTCCTAACCTAAAGAACAAGATGCCTATAAACATACAAGAAGCCTACAGAACACCAAATAGAATAGACCAGATAAGAAATACCTCCCGTCACATAATAATCAAAACATCAGATGCACAAAACAAAGAAAAAATACTAAAAGCAGTAAGGGAAAAAGGTCAAGTAACATATAAAGGAAGACCTATAAGAATTATACCAGACCTATCACCAGAGACTATAAAAGCCAGAAGAGCCTGGACTGACATCATACAGACCCTAAGAGAACACAATTGCCAGCCCAGATTACTATACCCAACAAAACTCTAAATCACTATAGATGGTAAAACCAAGATATTCCATGACAAAACCAAATTTGCACAATATCTTCCCACAAACCCAGGACTTCAAAGGATAATTGATGGAAAAACGCCAACACAAGGAGGGAAACTACAACATAGAAAAAGCAAGGAAGTAATCTTCCAACAACCCCAAAAGAAGATAACTATACAAACATAACTTTAACTCTAATAACAAAAATAACAGGAAGCCACAATCATTTTTCCTTAATATCTCTTAACATCAATGGTCTCAATTCCCCAATAAAAAGACACAGACTATCAGACTGGATACACAAACAAGACCCAGAATTTTGCTGCATACAGGAAACACACCTCAGTGACAAAGACAGACACCACCTCAGAATAAAAGGGTGGAAAACAATTTTCCAAGCCAATGGTCCCAAGAAACAAGCTGGAGTAGCCATTCTAATATCAAATAAAATCGACTTTCATCCAAAATTAATCAAAAAAGATAAGGAAGGACACTTCATACTCATCAAAGGAAAAATCTACCAAGGTGAACTCTCAATTCTGAACATCTATGCTCCAAATGCAAGGGCACCTACATACATAAAAGAAACTTTACTAAAGCTCAAAACACACATTACACCTCACACAATAATAGTGGGGGATTTCAACACCCCTCTCTCAGCAATGGACAGATCATGGAAACAGAAACTAAACCGAGACACTTTGACATTAACAGAAGTTATGAACCAAATGGACTTAACAGACATCTATAGAACATTTCATCCTAAAACAAAAGAATATACCCTTTTCTCAGCACCTCATGGTACCTTCTCCAAAATAGACCATATAATTGGTCACAAAACAACCCTCTACACATACAAAAAGATTGAAATAATCCCTTGCATCTTATCAGATCACCACGGAATAAGACTTGTCTTTAATAATGACAAAACCAATGGAAAACCCACATGCACATGGAAACTGAACATCTCTCTACTCAATGATGACTTGGTGAAGGAAGAAATAAAGAAAGAAATTAAAGACTTTTTAGAATTCAATGAAAATGAGGACACATCATACCAAAACTTGTGGGACTCCATGAAGGCAGTGCTAAGAGGAAAACGCATAGCTCTAAGTGCCTACAAAAAGAAACTGGAAAGAGCACACACTAACAACTTGACTGCACAACTAAAAGCTCTAGAACAAAAAGAAGCAAATACACCCAGGAGGAGTAGAAGGCAGGAAATAATCAAACTCAGGGCTGAAATCAACCAAATAGAAACAGAAAGAACAATACAAAATATCAATAAAACCAGGAGCTGGTTCTTTGAGAAAATCAACAAGATAGATAAACCCTTAGCCAGATTAACCAGAGGGCACAGAGACAGTATCCAAATTAATAAAATCAGAACTGAAAAAGGAGACATAACAACAGAAACTGAAGAAATTAAGAAAAATCATCAGATCCTACTACAAAGGCCTATACTCAACAAAACTGGAAAACCTGGATGAAATGGACAATTTCCTAGACAGATACCGGGTCCCAAAGTTAAATCAGGAGCAGATAAACCATCTAAATAGTCCCATAACCCCTAGGGAAATAGCAGAAGTCATTAAAAGTCTCCCCACTAAAAAAAGCCCAGGACCAGATGGTTTTAGTGCTGAATTCTATCAGACCCTCAAGGAAGACCTAATACCAATTCTCTTCAAACTATTCCACAAAATAGAAACAGAAGGAACACTACCCAATTCGTTCTATGAAGCTACAATTACACTCATACCCAAACCCCACAAAGACACGACAAAGAAAGAGAACTTCAGACCAATCTCCCGTATGAACATCGATGCAAAAATACTCAATAAAATTCTAGAAAACTGAATCCAAGAACACGTCAAAACAATCATCCATCATGATCAAGTAGGTTTTATCCCAGGAATGCAGGGATGGTTCAATATTCGGAAATCCATCAATGTAATCCACTATATAAACAAACTGAAAGAAAAAAACCACATGATCATCTCACTAGATGCTGAGAAAGCGTTTGACAAAATTCAACATCCCTTCATGATAAAAGTCTTGGAAAGTTCAGGAATTCAAGGCCCATACCTAAACATAGTAAAAGCAATTTACAGCAAACCAGTAGCCAACATCAAGCTAAAAGGAGAGAAACTTGAAGCAATCCCACTAAGATCAGGGACTAGACAAGGCTGCCCACTCTCCCCCTACCTATTCAATATAGTACTGGAAGTCCTAGCCAGAGCAATTAGACAACAAAAAGAAGTCAAAGGGATACAAATAGGAAAGGAAGAAGTCAAAATCTCCCTATTTGCAGATGATATGATAGTATACTTAAGTGACCCCAAAACTTCCACCAGAGAACTCCTAAACCTGATAAACAACTTCAGCAAAGTGGCTGGTTATAAAATCAACTCAAACAAATCAGTAGCCTTCCTCTACATGAAAGATAAACAGACTGAAAAAGAAATTAGGGAAATGACACCCTTCACAATAGTTGCAAATAATATAAAATACCTTGGTGTGAATCTAACCAAGCAAGTGAAAGACCTGTATGACAAGAACTTCAAGTCTCTGAAGAAAGAAATCGCAGAAGATCTCAGAAGATGGAAAGATCTCCCATGCTCATGGATTGGCAGGATTAATATAATAAAAATGGCCATCTTGCCAAAAGCAATCTACAGATTCAATGCAATCCCCATTAAAATCCCAACTCAATTCTTCACAGAGTTAGAAAAGGAAATTCTCAAATTCATATGGAATAACAAAAAACCCAGGATAGCGAAAACTATTCTCAACATAATAAAAGAACATCGGGAGGAATCACCATCCCTGACGTCAAGCTGTACTACAGAGCAACAGTGATAAAAACTACCTGGTACTGGTACAGAGACAGGCAGGAGGATCAATGGAATAGAATTGAAGACCCAGAACTGAACCCACACTCCTATGGTCACTTGATCTTTGACAAAGGAGCTAAAACTGTCCAGTGGAAAAAGGACAGCATTTTCAACAAATGGTGTTGGTTCAACTGGAGGACAACATGTAGAAGAATGAAAATCGATCCATTCTTATCCCCTTGTACAAAGCTCAAGTCTAAGTGGATAAAGGACCTCCACATAAAACCAGATACATTGAAACTAATAGAAGAGAAGGTGGGGAAGAGCCTCGAATACTTGGGCACAGGGGAAAAGTTCCTGAACAGGACACCAATGGCATATGCTCTAAGATCAAGAATTGACAAATGGGACTTCATAAAATTGCAAAGTTTCTGTAAGGCAAAGGACACTGTCAATAGGACAAAAAGACAACCAACAAATTTGGGAAAAGATCTTTACCAATCCTACATCTGATAGAGGGCTAATATCCAATATATACAAAGAACTCAAGAAATTAGACTCCAGACAACCAAATTAACCTATTAAAAAATGGGGTATAGGCGCGAGCCGGGAGTCCCCGCGGCGGGCGGCGGCGGCGGCGGCGGCGTTGGCGGAAGGAGGCGGCGGTGGAGAGAAGCCCGCGGCTGCCGCGGCGATAGCGAAATGGCGGAAACCGTAGCGGACACCCGGCGGCTCATCACCAAGCCGCAGAACCTGAATGACGCCTACGGGCCGCCCAGCAACTTCCTCGAGATCGACGTGAGCAACCCGCAGACCGTGGGGGTCGGCCGGGGCCGCTTCACCACCTACGAGATCAGGGTCAAGACAAATCTTCCCATCTTCAAGCTGAAGGAATCTACTGTGAGAAGAAGGTACAGTGACTTTGAGTGGCTTCGAAGCGAACTAGAGAGAGAGAGTAAGGTTGTGGTTCCCCCACTCCCCGGGAAAGCATTTTTGCGGCAGCTTCCTTTTAGAGGAGATGATGGAATATTTGATGACAATTTCATCGAGGAGAGGAAGCAAGGGCTGGAACAGTTCATAAACAAGGTCGCTGGTCATCCTCTGGCCCAGAATGAACGTTGTCTTCACATGTTTTTACAAGATGAAATTATAGATAAAAGCTATACTCCATCTAAAATAAGACATGCCTGAGTTTGGCAAGAAGAAGTAAAACCCGAGACCATCAATGATTCATCCACACCAATGAAGAAGTTGTAACTAACTTAGCATGCTGCACAGGCGCTGGTATAACACGTCCTGGGTATACTAACACTCACACTCTCCCTTCCATTCGCTTTGTTTTGGCAGTTGACAAGATGTTATTTGCTTTAGTGAAACTCCCTCGCTCCAGCCTTCTTTCTAAGTAGCTCTTCCCGCTGTGTCCCTGTGCACACTGTAGCCTCCCAGCCCCATAGACCCTGCTGTGTCCTGACTAAAGCTGCCGACTTGCTCTCACAGTTCCTGTGTCATGTTTGCTTCTTGGATCTGATTGACTAGAGTATTGCTCCCCCATCCCTTGATGTGTGATGTCACCACTTGGTCCTAATTTATGTGCAGGAGCACGACACCATTCGTCTCCAGTGCCACACATATGAGGTGAACTTTGTGTGCAGAATGTGTCTTCCTTCTGACCTGTAATCCCCTTCACATGAAAGATTAATGAGGGAAATCTTTATATTCTGTATAAAAACAAAATCAAATTTATATACTAAAATCATTTGTCTAAAATTTAAGTTGTTTTCAAATAAAAGTTGAAATGCAAAAAAAAAACAAAAAAAAAAAAACAAAAAAAAAAATGGGGTATAGAGCTTAACAAAGAATTTTCAATGGAAGAAACTCGAATGGCCGAGAAGCACCTAAAGAAATGTTCAGCATCCTTAGTCATCAGGGAAATGCAAATCAAAACAATCCTGAGATTCCATCTCACACCAGTCAGAATGGCTAAGATTAAAAACTCAGGTGATAGTAGATGCTAGGGAGGGTGTGGAGAAAGAGGAACACTCTTCCATTGTTGGTGGGACTGCAAGATGGTGCAACCACTTTGGAAATCAGTCTGGCGGTTCCTCAGAGAATTGGACATAGCATTACCTGAGGATCCAGCTATACCACTCCTAGGCATATACCCAGAAGATGCTCGAACATATCACAAGGACATATGCTCAACTATGTTCATAGCAGCCTTATTTATAATAGCCAGGAGCTAGAAAGAACCCAGATGTCCTTCAACTGAGAAACGGATTCAAAAAATGTGGTATATTTACACAATGGAGTATTACTCAGCTATTAAAAACAATGAATTCAAGAGTTTCCTAGGTAAATGGATGGAACTAGAAATCATCATCCTGAGTGAAGTAAGCCAATCACAAAAGAACACACATGGTATTCACTCACTGATTATCGGATATTAGCCCAGAACCTTGAAATGCCCAAGATGCAACTCACAGGCCACATGAAGCTCATAAAAAAGGAAGACCAAGTGGGGGTGATTCAGTTCTTCTTAGGAGCAACAAAATACTCAAGGGAGCAAATATGGAGACAAAGTGAGGGACAGAAACTGAAGGAGGGGCCATTTGAAGACCTTTCCACCTGAGTGTCCATCCCATGTGCAGTCACCAAAAGTAGATGCTGATATGGAAGTCAAGAAGTGCATGCTGATAAGAGCCTGATATGGATGTCTCCTCAGAGGCCTTCAAGAGTCTGACATATTCAGAGGCAGATGCTCACAACTAGCCATTGAACTGATCATGGGGTTCTCAATGGAGGAGTTAGAGTGAGGACTGAAGGAGCTGAAAGGGTTTATGGCACCATGAGGAGAGCAACAATACCAACCAACCACAGCTCCCAGGGTCTAAACCACCAGCCTGGGAGCACTTAGGGAGGGATCCAGGGCTTCAGCTGAATACGTAAGAGTGGAGGGCCCTGCTGGGCATAGGTGTAAGATGAGATCCTTGACCTCATGAAGCCTGGACGCCCCAGGGGGTGGGAATTTTGAGGGTGGGAAAGTGGGAGTGGTGGGGTAGGTAGGGCTTACATCCATGGAGAAGAAGGAGGAGGGGTAAGGGGATAGGGGGTTCCCGGGTGGGTGGGGGATGGGGTAAATGGACAACATATGAAATGTAAATAAAATATCAAAAAAAAAAAACACACACAAAAAAAGAAAGAAAACTAGCTGTAGAAAAGCCTCGAACAAATAGGCACAGGAGAAAAGTTCCTGAACAGAACACCAATGGCTTGTGCTCTAAGACCAAGAATTGATAAATGGGACCTCATAAAACTGCAAAGCTTCTGTAAAGCAAAGGACACTGTCAATAGGACAAAGCAGCAACCAACAGATTGGGAAAAGATCTTCACCAACCCTACATCTGATAAACGGCTAATATCCCAAGTATGCAAAGAACTGAAGAAATTAGACTCTAGACAATCAAAGAACCCTATTAAAAAATGGAGCACAGAGCTGAACAAAGAATTCTCAACTGAGGAATCTCAAATGGTTGAGAAGCACCTAAAGAAGTATTCAGCATCTCTAGTCATCAGGGAAATGCAAATGAAAACAACACTGAGATTCCACCTCACACCAGTCAGACTGGCTAAGATCAAAAGCTCAGGTGACAGCAGATGTTGGCAAGGATGTGGAGAAAGAGGAACACTCCTCCACTGTTGATGGGATTGTAAACTGGTACAACCACTATGGAATGCAGTCTGGCGGTATCTCAGAAAATTGAACATAGTGTTACCTGAGGACCCAGCTATACCACTCCTGGGCATATACCCAAAAGATGTTTCAACATGCAGCAGGGACACATGCTCCACTGTGTTCATAGCAGCCTTATTTATAATAGCCAGAAGTTGGAAAGAACCCAGATGTCCTTCAACAGAAGAATGGATGCAGAAAATGTGGTACATTTATACAATGGAGTACTACTCAGCTATTAAAAACAATGAGTTCATGAAATTCTTAGGCAAATGGATGGAGCTGGAAAATATCATCCTCAGTGAGGTGACCCAATCTCAAAAGAACATACATGGTATGTACTCACTGATAAGTGGATATTAGCCCAAATGCTCGCAATACCTAAGACACATCATGTAGACCACATGAAACTCAAGAAGAAGGAGGAAGACCAAAGTGTGGGTGCTTTGGTTCTTTCTAGAAGGAGTATCAAAACTTTCAACCAGAGCTCCCAAAGTCTAAACCTCCAGCCTGAGAGCACAAAGAGAGAGACTCATGTCTCCACCTGTAAAGGTAATTGAGGGTGGCCTTGTCAGACATCAGTGGAAGTGGAGGGCCTTGGTCCCCAAAAGTTTGGATCCTCTAGTGTTGGGGAATTCGAGAGCAGGGAGATGGGGCTGGGAGGATGTTTGGAGCACACCCTCATACACATAGGAGGAGGGGGTATGGGATAAGGGGTTTTGAGGGAGAATGGGAGAGGAGATAACATTTAAAGGTAAATATGTAAAATATCCAATAAAACGAAAAACAGATAAAGGGTCTAAAAAAAAGAGAGAATTTACTTATTTCAAAATATTTTCAAAAGTTTCTAGGAGATGCTAAGTGGCTAAGATCTCATTTCAAGCTCTCCACAAAAGAATTTAAGTCTCTGTTTAATATTCTCAAGAGAGATGTAAATTCTAATTTCCCTCAACAATTAATTGACAAAAGAGAAGTAATCCCACAAAAAGTAGAAGAAGCTATTACTAATCGATATATTATATAGTCTGATTAGTTGTCAGCTGTGCTATAACAGTCCTTTAATAAAAGAGGTTATTAATATATTTCTTTTAAATAGTGTCTTCATGACTCTCTGAGTGTGAAAGGAGTGCCTGTTGGTGCTTCTGACCTGATTTTACAAGAACCCTGAAAAATTGGCTTTAAAAACAAAAGAGGGGGAACTGTAACCCCCCACATATCCCACTGAAATACTTTCCATCATGCCTTGTTCACTTTTAAATTTCTAAAACTGAATGCTCAGGGCAAATCTGCTGCTGACTGCCTCTAGCATCACCGATATCAATAAAAACTACGCCACAGATAAGGTGAAGGACCCTCTTACCCTTAAAGGGAATGGCCCAGACCCAGTTCCCTTATGGGGACGAGGATTGATATGCCTGTTTGATACCACAGAAGGCACAGCTAACTGGCTATCAAAAAGATTAATGAAATAAATAGATATCCCCACGAAGCCAGGCCCAACCATAAATAAGATGAATGACAATTTACATCCAGGGAAGAGAAATCTCCCTGAGAATTCCCTTCTTTTTCCTTTCCAGGTAAAAATGAATCACCTGTGATGTCTGCTGTTAGAAGTTCTAACCCAGATGCTGGCCTCCGAATTTATACCACTCTGAACTTTGAAGGGCCATTGACAAGAACATCAAACAGCTAGAGACTGACATCATTAATCTGAAGAAATCCCTCGTTTCGCTGTCTGAAGAGACCTCCAAAAATCGCAAAGATCCTTATTGGACTTGATTTACTCTATTACAATAGAAAAGGCGGTGTACAGCTCTTGACTGTGGACAGCCCTTAAAGAAGAATGTTGCCTTTACATAGACAAGACAGGGAGGGTTAAAAAGACCATGAAATAGATCAGAGAACGCCCTGAGAGAAGTCAGAGAGAGAAAGAGACAGATGAATTCTGGTACAAGAATTGGTTTTCAGCCTCTCCATGGTTGTCAACCCTACTTCCTCCCATCTTGGGACCATTATTTGGGTTATTTTTGCTTGTTTCTACTGGTCTTTGGGTCTCAAGTAGGCTGGCTAACTCTGTGAAACAACAGATAAATAATTTGGTAGCAAAACCTATTCAGTTACATTATCATAAGTTAGCTATGGAGGACCACGAGACTCAGGATGAGGTTGTTACTTTATACAGGGTGTTCCCAAAACCCATCTCCACCCAACCTAAAAGAGGGGACTTCTGCCCCTAGACCAAGCAGAGAGGGGCCACCAAGAACCCCCTCTGACTGGCGATCTGAATTCCTGCTTAGGCTGCGAGGCTAAGCACTGCAAGGGAATATAAATAAAAGTTAAAAATATCTCTCTGGGTTCACTGAGGGACATAGGGGTTGATGTCAAAAGTATCCCCTCTCCAGGAAAAAGACATCAGGATGGGTATGGCCCTCATGCCTCACTGGACAACGACAGGGGGACCGGAGCCATTACAAGGTCCCCTTCAATTACTGGAGGTCAGGCCTCTATCCCCGCCTTTGCATGATTAGAATCACCACAGCCCTTCTATACTTAGAGAAGGGAGGAGATGTCACAGACATCCCTGCTTACACACTGAAGGCCTAAAATCAGCCATAGGCCTAAAATCAGCAATAGGCCTGTCATACCTGTATACTAACACCAAGTCTTTGGTCTCTGTGAAAAAAACATTGAAACAGATGGCTATAAACTATTGTAAACAGGCAACTTTCATGAAAATTTACCAGCCTGAGGAGTCATAGACCTTGT